CGACCTCCCAACTGCGAAGCAACGGTGCTAACCACTGAGCCACCTTGCAGCCCTTGTTGTGCAATGTGAAATGTAATTTTTAATTCAGATTGATGTTTGTAGAACAGGATTTTCACATGTAATGGGGTTTGTACGCTGTGGTGTTTTTAACTTTTAGGTGAAAGAGCTGAAAACTTGTTCCAGCTCTTCAAATGTGGGGACTGTTGATGGTTACACCCTACGCAGAGCCTCACCACAAATGCAGCAGGTCTCGGTTACTGAGTACTGCGGGAAAAAAAATTGCTTTACCCCGTTGTTGTTAACTGTGTTGTTGGGAGTTTGTGGTCTGAGCATCACTAGCCACAAACCGTGCAAGTGTTGCTTCGCATTTGTTGCACTTCATTCAAAATTCTCACTCACTTTTCTTTGTGCACCAGCACCAGTAGAACCACTTAACACTCAGCAGCACTCAGCTGATACAGAATGAAGGAAAAACTTTGCCCCAGTAATTCATTGAAAACACAATATTATGACTGTGTAGTTTCAGACCTGTGACTTCTAGGGACGCATTTTTATTGAATCACTGTGTGCTGCACAGTTTTTTCACAGAACAAAATGTTTCTTAGTTTTAAAAAACAGAAGCATGTGAATGTTAAGGGCTCAAAAACTAACATTAAATTTATACCAGTGTACATTCGTTCTTTTGTTTGCTCTTATATAACATGAGCCTCGGGCTATTTTCAGGGCACTACTTTGATGAGTTACACCCTTCGTATTAAATGAGTTTATTTATTTAACCTTCATTTAACCAGGAAAAGGCTCATTGAGATTAAAAATCTCTTTTTCAAGTGTGTCCAGGCCAAGACAGGCAGCAGCACAACTGACAGACAGACGAGGTCACAGCAGCATCCACACAGACATCATACCCATAATAAAGGGTGAAATTACATTTAGAAGATAAGAAATCATCAGCAGAGATCAGAAACGTAACCAGCAAAATAATCATCTGTCAAAACATCTACAGACTGATGTTTCTGCCTCCAAGTGTTCAAAGAAACCAGCTCTAGAAGTTTCAGATCTTTTTGTAAAGTGTTCCAGGCAGAGGGAGACCAGTGAATTTAAAAGCCTTGTTTCCTCGTTCAGTTCTAGCCTCAGGAACAGACAGTAACAGTAGATCCTCGGACCGCAGACTGTAACCACTAGGAGCTTTTATACAAATAAAAACCTGTAAATAATCAGGAAGCAAGCCTAAAATACATTTATAAATTAAAATATGCCAATGTTTTTTTCCTTTGTGTGGACAAATCTGAGCATCCAACACGAGAGTACAACAAACAACGGTGAGTAAAATACCTCAAACTGGTGATAAACCTTAAAGCGCCGCGATAAACTGAATCTAAAACACTCAGGCTTTGAGCTGAAGCATTCATATGTACCGTATCTCCATAATCTAACACAGACATAAAAGTGGCAACAACCAGTCTCTTTTTGGCCTCAAAGCACAGGCAGGACTTGATTCTGAAGAAAAACCCAGTTTCAATTTTAGTCTCTGTGCCAGCTGCAGGATGTGAGGCGTGAAAGAGAGACAGTCATCCATTAAAATTCCAAGGTATCTATACTGAGACCCTGAGAAGACGTGACTGCAGGCAGGTATAGAATAGAATAGAATAGAATAGAATAGAATAGAACTTTACTGATCCCTTTGGTGCAAACCTCAGGGAAACTGTTGTAAGCATGAGCAGGGCCTGAGCATCACTCGCCACAAACCGCGCTAGTGTTGCATCACGTGTTCCTCTTTATTCAAAATTCTCACTCACAAAACACAAACTTTTTATTCGTGTATGTTTCGGTCGACTTTAGTGCTGCTTTTGTGAGGAAAAGCTGACGACAAACCTACAGGCCGTCTTCTATTTACCTTCTAGAATCCCTGTAAAGCTGATGGGATGTTGAACAGTAAGACACTGAACAGCACATTTTATCGGCTGCTGTTTCTTTTTAGCAATTCTTTTAGACGTCTGTGCTTCGTGAGCTTGTGTCTTAAGTGTGTTCTAATCTATCTATCTATCTATCTATCTATCTATCTATCTATCTATCTATCTATCTATTTTTTTGCATACTTTCTAAATCTGCCAACTAAATCATTAACTAAACAATTTCTTCACCACTATGTGTGTAAAGGTGTAATAACAGGCTTTAAAATGTTGAAGTTCAACTCTGGTGGGAAACCCTCCAAAAAGCTGCTCTAGTTAGAGAACCGATTAATGATTGACGAAAAATTGATTTTTTAAAATCAGGCCTTAAGTAACTTATGAGGAGTCAAATCAGGGTTTGTTCGTGATTCTGAGTTGATTGTTAGCATTTATATTTCACCACAAACACTCCATTGTTGAAAAAGGCTACACTCACTTTTACATTTACATGAACAGCAGCTTTTATTTCACATACTTATATAACACTGAAAGTTATTTCTCATTCAGTGTCAGAAGCTTCAAGAGTCATTGTCGATGTTTTCTTCAGACTCAACAACATCATGACTGCAGTTTCTACATGTGATGCCTTTACAGACTCTACAGGCCCAGATGCTCGTGACCCCGTTCTTCTTGCAGCTGCAGCGCCGGTTGCTGTAATCTCCACGACAGTTACAGCTGGTGAACTTCAGTAGCTCCTCAGGAGCCGTTAGGTTTAGTGTTGGACCTGGCTCATACCCATACACACCTAATGTCCATCCATAGTCACTGGAGTTCAGAGACCTGCTCTGTACAAGGATCCAGTCCTGGTCTGCAGGTAGACACAGAGTGAATGCTGCACCCTCTGTTAGAGGGAGAGTCTCTGGTTTGATCACTCCTGCCGCCGCCTTCCTTGAGAACACGTTGTACCAAATTTCATCCAGTGTAGTATCTGGTTCATGATAAATGTGCTGGAGAATCGCAGCACCAGGTGGCGGCAGGAGTGATCAAACCAGAGCCTCAGAGATTACAGCAGAAACTGCAGTCATGACGTTGTTGAGTCTGAAGAAGACACAGACGATGACTCATGAAGCTTCTGGCATTGTGAATGAGAAATAACTGAGTATTATATAACTGGATCCTTGTACAGAGCAGGTCTCTGAAGCCCAGTGACTATGGATGGACATTAGGTGTGCATGGGTATGAGCTGGTTCCAACACTAGACCTAACGGCTCCTGAGGAGCTACTGAAGTTCACCAGCTGTAACTGTCATGGAGATTACAGCAACCAGCACTGCAGCTGCAAGATGAACGGGGTCACGTGTATCTGGGCCTGTGGAGTCTGTAAAGGCATCACATGTAGAAACTGCAGTCATGATGTTGTTGAGTCTAAAGAAGACATAAACAATGACTCTTGAAGTTTCTGACATTGTGAAAGAGGAGTGTTATGTAAGTATGTGAAATAAAAGCTGCTGTTAATGTAAATGTAAAGTGAGTGTAGCCTTTTTCAACAATGGAGTGTTTGTGGTAAAATATAAATGCTAACAATCAACTCAGAATCATGAAAACAATCCTGATTTCACTCCTCATATGTTACTGAAGGCCCGATTTAAAAAAATATTTTTTGACAATCATTTATCGGTACCCTAACTGGAGCAGGTTTTTTCAGGGTTTCCCACCAGAGTTGAACTTCAACATTTTAAAATAATAATAATAATAATAATAATAATAATAATAATAATAATAGCCTTTTGAGCACTTTTCAAAACAAATGTTACAAAGTGCTTTCCAATAAAATAAAATAAATTAAAAATTAAAATACAATAAGCACAAAGAATAATTGATAAAAGTAGAAAGCAAGAAGCTATAAAACATGTAACCACACACCTTTACAAACATATTGGTGAAGAAATTGTTGGCTTTAGTTGGCAGATTTGTGAAGTATCTCATAAAACGCTCTGACTATTAGGAATGATGACATTTGTTTGAGACCACTGACACAGATGAAGCCTGATGGACACATTTAAGGACAAACTCCTGAAACACTGGGATGTTCTGAGTGTGTAACCAGAGCTGCTGCAGCAGGCTGCACGTTAGAGCTGCTCTTCTCTACAGGTCTTAAATCAGAAGGTCAGTTGACATTTATATTTAGCTCTCATAGAGGACTCATACAACAGGCTCCATGCCTCTATCATGGAGGGCAGAGAGAATACATCAAATACTGAATGAAAGCGAAAGTCATCTTTATAGATTAGAGATTTTATAACCGTTTCTCCTTTACGTGCCATTTGCTATTGAATCGAGCCATCAGTCCCAATTAGATGATGAAACGTATCGATTCAGCACAAAGTAGAGATTTAAAGATAAACCGTTACGTTACTGCGCTCAAGTCTTTAATCATTTCCAAGGAAAAGGAAAGTAAGCAGATTTTTTTTCTTTTTCTTTCTTTCTTTCTTTTTTTTTTTTAATAAAGTTTTAGCTGCAAAGTGTACTTACTCGCTAAAGAAGACCGATCCTGTGTGTGCGCGTCTGCATTAAGGAAGATTATGATTTGGTCCAGCAGCGTCCTGCAGCTGTCTGCGGGGCGGGGCGGGGCCTGCTGCGTCACCGCCGTGACGTCACTGATCGATCACTCATCGATCAGCCGTCCATCCGGAGGACGTACATGTTGCTTTGCCTTTAAATCTGTATTCGTGTTTGTTTGTTTTTTGTTTAGAATTTACATACACAAGCGTTTTTTCAGTCTTTAACACGAGAGTCATGTGATTGGTTATTCTTTAGTTTAAATAATTAAATAAAAATAAAAATTAATGTTGAACTTTATTGATATACAGTCGTCCTCAAATGTAGTCAGACCCTTCAATTAAAGAAAAGGCAAAATTCACAATAGTCACACAAATAAGTAGAAACTGAAAAAAGTAATAATAAATAAAAAAAAGTTGCTAAATTATAGTTTAGTGGAATAAGACATTGATTTTGAATTGGGGTTGAAAAGAATAATTAAAAAAAAAAGAAGTGTCCCAAACAAATCAGAGCACTTTGCTGAGGAGCAGTGAAACCAGAACACCTGTAAACAGGTGCAGAAGTCTGACTGAGAGTTACAGAAAACACCTGATGGCAGTGATTGGCTCAAAGGGTTGTTCAACTGATTGATTCCAAAATCTAATCATTCCGAGGAGAGGCCATTCCTAGCTCACCTGTAAAAGATCAACTAGTTAGACCTTAGCACTCGAGCTAGAGACTGTTCACAGACACACACACACACACACACACACACACACACACACACACACACACACACACCTGGTCAGTGGCAACTACAACAATAAATAAAGGGTAGAAGAATAAACAATTAATAAATAGAAAATCAATAGATTATTAAAAAAAATGTCAGAGTATGACTTTTGAGGAGAGATGAATCTATCAGATGAATGACCGACGCTATTCCCAACTAGCAGAGAACGTTCCCACAACATTGACAAACATTGCCTGCAAGTTGTAATAACTGTGTCTACATTACGTATTTTAATCAAATAGTCAAAGAATCTTTCAAGAACATTTTCATTTACATCACTGCTCTTACAAAGCAAATGCAATGTTTTGAAATCAACATTAAGAGAACGTTTGCAGGAACACAGATTAACTTGATAACAAAGGAGAAACATTCCCAAACCAACATTCAAAAAAAAAAAAAAAATCAGAAGTTGCAGAGGCCACTCAATTCTAAATTAATTGGCAAGAATCAAATCATTTGTTTTAAAAAATTAAAAAAAAATCTGTGTTCTTCTGTAGTTAGAGTCAGAGCAACATCAGAATTAGAAAATATAGTTAATCTTATGCGTATGTATCACGTTTCTATTGTTCAAAATGACTTGTAGAGTAAGACTCTGCATTGTGGAGAAAGATTCCCCCTTTTCAACACCAGGGAGTAAATAAAATAGTTTAAATCAGCTCCACCTCAATCACATACAGACTAGCATTAAAATGAGGCTTCAGCTGAAGGTTAATGCATTCATCATTAGGCTATATTACAATAATGTCCTTGTCTATGTAACAACACCTACAAATCTAAGGTTTCATTAACCAAAACTTTAAAATCCACTGGAAACTAATTGAACTTTTGTCTCTTAACTTGTATTACCTAATTTTGCACATCACACATAAGCAGAATAATGTAATCATTTGACTCGAGTTTCACAATTCATCTGACAACATTTGTTCTCTCTCTTATGAAAAGCAGAAGAGTGGCGTGCATGAAGCAATGCAGCTTTGAGTTCCTCTGTGAATCGTTTTTTTTTTACCGAATGATCCCTCCCATGATGTTTTTGAACCTGTACTTATTTTACTTAAACCAGGACACAACTAAGCAACAAAAATACAACTGCAGGACGCACACCAACGCAGGTGTTACTGAAAGGAGCCTGCAGCTTAGAAACACTGTTCATATGTGTAGTTTTTAATTTTCTGACTACAGGTTGTTTGTGTGAATAAGTAGAAGATGGTACATGTAAGTACTATATATGTACAATGTGCATGTAGATATGTTGCATTGTATGTATTGGAGAGCCACATAGAGTACAAAATAAAAGATATGATGAGAATAGAGAGGACTGGATTCATAATGACCTCGTTTTTGTTTTTTTTAATTTAAGAACAGTTTGTCTTCCAAAAACCAAATGGCTGTAAATGTAAAGCTTGAGATGATATTATGACCGTTACAGCAGTCTCTTCTTTTTCCCATCAGAGCTCTTCAGACAGATGAAACATCTGCCCCAGACTTCCTCAAACAGAGTTCCTCATAACGTTCCTCACATGTGAAATAGAAATGAAAAGCCTGAGTAGCGTAGTAACGTTTTGTACTGTTTTTTGTTGTTGTTTGACATCAATATTGATCCATATTCTGGAGGTGCAGGTAAAAATACCGATCAAAATATGGAAGAAACAGGACAGTTCTTCACACTATGAGACATAAATTGAGTCTGAAATTGGTTCTGCATATGTTGGCTCCAAGAACAAGCACATTCAGTATCTACATAGTCTACATAGAGCAGACCAAAGTACATCATAAGCGCACTCTTGTTTCCGTATAACGTCACCATCGTCGGAGTGTCTCTCCCCTCCATCAAAGACATCTCCACCACACGCTGCACCCGAAAAGCCACCAGCATTGTGAAAGAACCGACACGCCCTTCACACAAACTCTGCACACTCCTGCCGTCTAGCAAGAGGTTCAGAAGCATGCGGGCCCGACTGTGCAACGGCTTCATCCCTCAAGACGTAAGACTGTTAAACATTCAAGGACTGGACTAACACACAAACAAACACACACATACACACACTACTTCCATTGTGTTGTTTTGTCCGTGTTGTGTTGGTATTGCCTTGTTGGTATTCCTGATTTTTATTTTATCTTATCTTTTTGCACTTTAGCTCTGGATCTGGTTACTGTGTACTGTACAGCTGTATGTGGTTGAAACGTCAATAAAGCCCTTTGAATTTGAATTTGAAGTGAAGTTTGAATTGCGCATTCACTGCTTTTCTGCAGCACAGCCAACACTGAAGAGCGCAAACAGGGCGGCTTGTTCAAACATATCGTGACGTGACTTTCATTCTCTGCACTGTTGTGGGCCCGTGAAGCCAAACTGTGACTCTCTTTGTAATTCTGATGAAACCCAACAACACTAATTTGTCATCAGACATGTCACTGTTCAGTTCCCGAGAGCTCACTCTGTGTTTGCAATAACAGCCTTATAACAGTATGAGATGGAGGCTTTTTAGACGAGCTCATCATCCCTCTGTATTGCTTGGCTCTCACTTTTGTTTTTTTGTTTTTTTTTATGTGGTCTGGGTCTAAATACTGTAGCAGCGTACCTGCTGCCACTAATGCTGCTGCACAGGAAGCACAGAAAGCTGCATGCAGTCTGATCTTACAAAGAAAAGAGCATCTGAAGGTTCCAGGCTACATTAGCACGACTAGCATCCAGCTCTTTGCACTGTTGGTAATTAAAATAGAAGACTGGGGGGAAGAATGCATGGGATGTATTACAGCAGCAATGCTGTGTCATTGGAATGCTCGTGTAACGGAGCTGCAGTTAAGAATCAACTTTTTAGTGACTCATTGTTATTAGGCGGATATTTACACTCACAGTAGAGTTTCGAGCAGGCGGAGAGGAGGTTCTGATGGGGACATTAATTGTCTTTCAAAATTCTCCTATTTGTCTGTAGGCCACGGTTGGTCGTGCCATAGGTGAATCATTTTGTCCTAACGGTTGTGGAGCTGTTACTGACTGATTTAGAGAATATTTTATTTCAGGAGGAAATTTAAAAAGCAGGCTACAGGGCTCAGGTGATTCATGTGTGTCGTCTTCTCTGTCCTCTGTCCAGCGTTCCTCAGACGATAGTCACAATATTACTGTGTTCATGGGGTTGGTAGCACTGTTGCCTCGCAGCAAGAAGGTTGCCAGTTCGCATCCCGGTGGGGGCACCAGAATCTTTCTGCGTGGAGTTTGCATGTTCTCTCCGGGTTCTCCGACTTCCTCCCACACAGTCCAAAAACATTTTGAGGTTAATTGGTGATTCTAAATTGTCCGAGTGTGTGCTTGGTTGTCTGTCTCTAAGTGTAGCCCTGTGATAGACTGGTGACCTGTCCAGGTGTCCCCTGCCTTCGCCTTAAGTCGGCTGGGATAGGCTCCAGCCCCCCATGACCCTAGTGAGGATTAAGCGGTGCACAGATAATGGATGGATGGATACTGTGTTCATATGGATGAACAGAGAATAAAACAACTCTTTCGCTGGACCTTATTTTCACAATTTTTGCCTGAATGTCAAAGTAAACTGAATTCTGTTCTTTGCTGTAGCTACAAATTTGTACCGCAAACACTGATTATTAGCCTTCAAGATGTAACCTTGGATGGACTTTAGGGTTGGTAAAGATTGGGAGAAGGGGCGGGAGATAAATAAAAAAAATACTAATAATGCAGTGGTCATTGTACAGTGCAAAAAGGATCAACTGAATGTGCACTTGCCAGACTGTCAGAAACACCAATATATGTAGAAACTGGCACAGAATGCAACGTCATACCTCCAAAAAATGTAAACAATCATTTCAGACTCTAATGCAAAGCTGTGTGAAGACAGTCACTCACATTTTCACATAACAGGAAATGACAGCTACATTTTTTTTGTCACTTTGAAGAGGAAACAAATCATTTCCCGCCACAGTCAGACAAACCAGACGAATGTTCGTGTCTAGTATTCAAGTTTTATTTTTCTCAACGTAGAAACATGTGACAAAAACATTTAACCAAAAATAAATTATAAAAAATAAATAACAACACAAAAGGTAAATGACATAAAAGCTTCATGTGATTAACACTCAAGAACTCCATCATTCAAAGAACCGAATCAGTTTGTTGTTCCTGTAATGAAAAGTGTTTAAATCTGATGGTGTCTTTGAACATGTGAGAAACCTTTTTGCGTTCTGGTGTCTGTGTTACCTAATGTTGAAATAACCAAGAGTCTTCATGCATTTACAGGTAGAGACGCCCACAAGTCGTCAGTCTGCTTTAATTACAGCCGTATGACAGAATGTGGGCATGTAATAGGAGAAAACACAATAAAGTTTACTGCTTTAAACGATACGTGCCCCTGTGTTTATCTGAACCGCCACAAACAGAAACTTGAACAGTGACAGTCATACGCGACTCCCACGGAAAACCACAGTCTGTTCATGTAGGCACTCATCGGTTACGATTCACAAGCTTTAAGTTGGGGTTAAGATTCGAGGTGGGTACAGCTGAAGTTACAAACTTGGGGGACATTTTCCGACACGTTTTTTTTAAAGTGCCAAAAGTCATTGTTCAGACATCCAGAGGAAAACTGCTCAACTTGATTGTTAGTGTCTCTAAGCTACTTGTCTGTGATTTTCCAATGTCAGTTTAATGTGAAAGATGAAGTGGGTCATTCAGGCAACCAGATACTCTGCATCTGTGCAAAGCCACACTTGACCTCCTTCCCATTTTCACTCACATGTTCTTTTATTTCTTTTATCTGCACTAAACACACTGAGATACACAAACACCCAGTTGGTCAGGCTTTCGTTTTAAGACGTCCTCAGTCTGGGACCTCGCAGTGACCATCTGCGCTGCCGCCGTCGTCTTCAGGGAGATGGAAACACATGCGCATTCTGCGTCTGAGTCTCTTCTTAAGCTGAAGGCGGCGCTGGACTGAGGTAGAGTTGTACTCCTGGGCCTTTAGCTTGCTGTAGTAGTCGGAAAACTTGTTGAAGAGGAAGGAGATGGGCATGCCGTTCAGAATGATACCAAACGAGATGCAGCCAAAAGCCACGAGGCGGCCGAGGATAGTAACAGGAACCACATCCCCGTAGCCCACAGTGGAGATGCTGACCTGAGAGAGAGAAGTGAACAGTCCTATATTCAGCTGTCTGGAACATTGCCTCCACTGTATTCATGATCATTAGAATAATGGGCTAAAACTGAGTGAGGTGAAGGGAAAGAGTGGGACAACATCTGCTGACACCTGAAGGAAGCTTTGTACAGTCTGCAATGCATGCTAATCCGAACCCGAACCCATACAACAGCCGCTCATGTGAAACTTAAAAAGATCCTGAGAACTTTTGGACCTCCATTTGGTGCATCAGGCTGCTCCTCCGAACTAAACCCTCAGAGCACTGAGACAGAGTGTTCTTAGGTTGAACGTTTGCACCAGCTTGCGTCCTCTCTCTTCATCTAAAGAGCAAACTGTCGTGTAAATTACTTTTTCTATCTCCATCGTAAAACAAGGAGGACAGTGACATAGTTGAGGATGACAGCAGTGATTATGTCTCTGTGCTTCTGCTGTAGTCTTAACTGGCGATTGCACGTATCATAAATGACTCTCATGCAAACATCAGATTCATTTTCAAATCCCGCAGTGCTCCAAAACTTTTTTTTAAAAAGGAAGTGGTAATTATTTCATGTTTCAAATGGGAACTTGTATGTTGCAATTTTGTCCACTCACACACACTGTCAGTGGCATTTGTAGGACCAAGAAACCACACTGATCAGTTACTAAAATTGTGTTTGTTGTCACACTATGTCGTGTTGGGTACATCTTATGTATTAAGTACGAGCCTGTTTTGCAAGAGAGAAGAGATTGTAATGAGCCAACGAGCTGCTGTAGTGTCAGACACAAAGAAAGCATTTCCTTCCTTTTGGTTTCCTTATCTCAGATGCAATATTGTTGATTGCTCAACACAATAGGTTTGCACACAGAAAGAAGACATAATGGGCAGATGTTAGTGGACACCTAGTCATACAGCTACTGATACTTACTGCAGCCCACCACCACGCGTACGGGATGCTGCTGATGGGAGACCCCTCGGTTTCCCTCTCGGCTGAATGCAGCAGAGCAGAGAACGTGAAGATCCCCATGGCGATAAAGAGCAAAATGCAAGAGGCCTGCTGGTAGCACTGCCGCAGGGTAAACCCAAACGCCCTCATGCCGGTTGAGTGGCGGGCCAGCTTCAAAATCCGAAAGATCCTCAGCAACTTAACTACTTTGAGGACATGGCTGACCTTGCTGAACCGAGCCATGGCCTTCAGGTCTTCCTGTGCATTTACATCTTCTGCGTCACTTGTGGCTTCGAAGATGATCTGGATGAAATAAGGCATGACTGACAACATGTCCACAAAGTTGAGTCCACTCTTTAAGAACATCCTGATGTTCGGATTGGTGATAAGGCGAATTACATACTCAAAGGTGAAGAACACTATGGTGATAATCTCCACCCATTCCATGTGTGTTTTGTCGTTGATTTTATAAACCTGAAGTTCTTTCACGGTGTTAAGACTCATTGCGACGATGGAGAAGAGCACAAAAAGGTTAGAGATCAAAGTGAAAATCTTTGCCAAACTTGAAGAGTAGGGATTCTCCACAATGTCCCACAGAGTCTTACGCACATCCCCAAACACCATGTCTTTAAAAAACTCGTCGTTGTACTTCACCTCGATCTCAGCCATCAGTTCCTTATCCACCTTTAGGTTGTCCTTCACCTCATCTGCCTTCTCCTCAAACACCATCCAGCAGCAGAGCTGGGTGTCCTTCAGGCTCAGGCCCCAGTATTCAATTTCCTCCTCAAAGTTGATGGGGCACATTTCCCGTACGATCCACAGCACGCCGCTTGTGTAAAAATGGCAGACATGGTGGAAGAAGGCAGGATCGCGGTCAAAGAAGAACTCATTCTTGCGTACAGAGTAGTCATCACACAGTGTGAGGACTTTGGCCCGATCCTTGCAGAGAACCAGGGAGCCGATCCGGGTGTCAGGGTATTTAATGGCACACTGTTTTGGAATATGAAACACTTTCCCTCCAATGTTCAGGTTGATGTTCTGCTCCTGGTTAGGTCTCTCCTCATCTTTGGGACGGTCAACTATGATGATAGGACTGTCCAAATTCTCCAGAGAGCTCCAAGCTTTGACTGCTTTCTCCTGAGAAAACGGGAACGTTTTGTTGTCCTCTAAACCCTTTGAGAGACAGTTGATGGTAGAGCGGCGGGTTTGCAAACATCTCTGCCGCTCAGCATTCCCCGAGTAAGCCATAGCAACAGTGGTTCAAGGCAGCCAGTCAATGCAACAGCACGAAAGAGAAAAAAACATCAAAGGAAATACTCCTGGGGTGACGATTCTAGCAACACATGGCTTATCGCTGAATCATCAGAAAGACTGCATCTGGTCCTGCAGGAACTGTTATCCCAGCGAATAGCAGCACTTCCTGTTTTGGTGGCTCAGAGAGTGTCGTCCAGGAAGCCAGGGGGAGAGGAAGAGGTTCCCCTGTCTGACTGTTACTGCAGAGACAACACATTTGGTTCAACTGAGCGGCAGACCAAGGACAGGTAGCCGTGACTTTATCAATTTAATCTCATTGGTGCCTGTCCAAGGTTCCTTAAGTAGTTGTAAATATAGGGGAGGAGGAGGGATTAAAAAACAAAGTTGATTTAAGGATTTTGAAGTGACGAGGCAAAGGGCCATCTCAGGCCTTATGCAGACTTTTCTTTAAATTCCACTTCAGAACTAACTTTTTTTTCCTCTTTTGTTTCATCATAATGTTCACGTAACTCCAAACTTGTGATAAATCTGAATTTATGCTGCTTACAGATGCATCCTTTGGTAAAAATGAACACTTTATACTGGATGCTTCTTAGTTTAACATTGGTTAAAAATTTACAAGGTAGATTTTCCAACTTATTTTTTAAACAAATTCACCTACCATGGTAAAACATTTCATAATTGGTTGGATTCCACTTCATTACTTTGTTTAAATGCAGATACGCAATCAAATGCAATTATTTTGTTATTCGCGGGCAACTGATGTCCCTCAGACTGCGACAGAAAAGTCATCTTATATCCCTTTCGGCTTAATCAAGGAAGTGTGATCTCCTGCTAACCTACTTGTCCAGCCTCACAACCGATCTTAAGATTATACCTGCCAGGGACAAAGGGATTGGCAAGGTTTAATGGAAAACGGCAGCACAACAGGATCCACGGTGGAGGGGAACAGAGCAGAAAGAATCCTCCAGAGGGCGCAGAACCAGCTGCTCAATGAAAGAGTGAGACAGGTCCATTTCACCACCGACTCACTTTGAAGAATAACAACATGCATGAGAAACTGTCAGCACTTTTACTTCGGGAAATTTTAGAAGAAGTTTCTAATCGCAGACATACAGCACAGGACATATCACGGAGGGCAACCACAGTGTGTTCACAATCAGAAACATCAGCAGATCAACATGTCCGCAGGTGAAGAACCAACGGTCTAAACCTTGGAGCCATCTGACCTCTTTGGACAGCTGTCAAATGTGCTACTTTCTGCCACCTTATTGTTCTGCTCAGAAAAGGATGTTCCTGCCTAAATTCTTTGACAAAGAGCTTCACATTCCAACACTTTTTTGTTCACGGAATGATAAAAGACGCCTCCGTGTCACAACTGTACTGTAACAAAGCAGCTGCAGGAAGCAGAAGTGGCCGAATGATTTGGCAAATCCATCTGTCTGGTATGTGCAGACTGAAGATGGTTATCAACACAACAACAAACTGAAGTCCAGTAATGACACGATGAAGCTATCAGTGCTCATTTGCTAATTCCTTTCATTATCTTCACTGTCATTTACCCGACGTAAAGACACAGGCAGGCGGACGGCACAACTGACCGGTTACAGAGCAGTTAGAACTGACAGTAATGAGATATTTGTACCTTTTTTACAAGCTTGATGTGTGTGTTGGTGTGAATTACTCAACTACCCCCATGCTTTAAGCTGATTAAGCTTAAAAAATAAATAAATCAGTAAAATGTTGGTTTTAATTGAAAAGTCTATGAGGTGACTTTACAAACTGACTGACTGAGGCTACAACAAAAAGATGAGTGTTCAGTATTACGTAATTTTTTATTATTTTTTTTAAAAAGAGCTCGATCACAAAGCATGGCGGCGGCAGCAGCATCAGCACAGCAGCCGTGAGGTTGTTTTGTAGGAAGCCAACTGTTGAAATAGGAAAAGTTGGTGCCTCTTTTACATCCATCCATCCATGATCTATACATCGCTTAACCCTTTCAACACAATAGCCCGCTATACCGGTCTGCGGCTTTGATCCCGTCAACCCTGCAGACCGGTATAGCGGCTCCGGTATGTGGCGACTTTCTGTGACATTTATTTTGACTGTCTATCAGTGGGAATCCTTGTATGTGAACAAGCGAGTCAGTCAAGAAATAAATTATGCAAATAATAAGTCTATCCCAGCTGACTCAGGGTGAAGGCAGGTTCACCTGGACAGGTAACCAGTCTATCACAGGGCTACACTTAGAGACAGACAACCAAGCACACTCACATTCACACCTACGGACAATTTAGAATCACCAATTAACCTCAACATGTTTTTGGACTTTGTGGGAGGAAGCCGGAGAACCCGGAGAGAACCCACGCTGCACGGGGAGAACATAGAGACTCCACACAGAAAGATCCCGGTGCCCCCACCGGGACGCGAACCGGCGACCTTCTTGCTGCGAGGCAACAGTGCTACCAAGTGAGCCACCTTGCAGCCCGGGAGGGATTCAATGTAAGGTTAATATAAATACTTTACCCGTACTGTCAATAGGCTGTGGGGTTCGTTCAAATCCCAATTTTGCACCAGGACCATTTCATTTTTTTGCATTCATGCAGGGAATAAAACGGGGAGCAGGACAAATATAATCAACACTTACGACTGCTTTGACATACATCACAATGATTTTGTTTTTATTTCATAATTAGCATTTCTTACTTTATCACTGCTGCCTAACTAAATGCACTTAGTAACATTGCTTTTGAGAGTGCCATTTTTCCAGGCATTGCATTTTATAATGCATTTGGACATGAAGTATTACCTGGTACTGCCGGTAGGAGAGGCAAACAGGAGCACATGTAGTAAAAATGGACACATACATATGGGAAAAAAAATACTTTATTTGATTCATTTACAGCATTTAACAGTGTTCAACAGGACTACAGCAGATGCGGTGCTCCCTAGAAATAAATAAAACCCTTCGAAATAAATACCAACGACACAACTCAGCAGTTTTAGCACGTTTGCAGAATTATCACTCAAATAGTGCCAATAGATTTTTAGAGGTCCAACCGATTCGTACATTTCTCTGAGACCATCACAACAATAACAAAAAGACTGAAATCAGACAAGGCACGTCAACCGTTCAAACATTCACCAGCGATAACCAGAGTCACTTCTCGAGCAAAAGCAAACCTCCCAGAGACACTCAACAAAAGAAAACACACATCACGAACGTAGCACCACCGTGCTGGAAGCATCGATACACCAAACCTGCCACCAGAGAAACTCTCCGTCTCTTCACTCCCACAACTTAACACAACTACAGTTACTCCTTGTTTTTCCAACCGTTTTATAAGAATTGCTGACACTTGGAGAAATACGCCTGTTTGCTTTCTCACAGTTAGATGAAGGTCAGTTTGACGCCAGGAGTTAGCTGAGCTGAGCGGAGCATAACAACAAGGTTAAACAGCTCACTAATTGACACATTACTCCTTGTTTGTTTATTGAATTATCCTGGAATCTTGTTAGCGGGACGCTGAAGGTCCAGCGGAGGCTTCAGTTCCTGCTCCCAGCAAAGCAATACAATTAACAAACGAGATACGGCCGTATGATTAGGTAGATTTAAAGGCGTTGGTGGAGGGATTTTAATACTGTTGAACAGTGTCTGCCTGCTAACCGGCTGCTGTGACAATCAGTCACTCGTTAGGGGTCGGGGAGTTAGCACATAGGCGCATTTCACAAAATGTTCAACTATTCTTTAAAAACAAATGATCGAATACCAGAGTGTACAACAATTCACAGACTTAAAAAAAAAAGAATGTACCTTTATTTTTTGGAATCTTTTCCTCTTAGTAAAAGGCCACTTTAAACTGAGCAGCACTGATGCTGCACTGATCAGCTGCAGGAAGACAGTCGCCTGCACAAACTGTTCATCATTCAGGTACCAGATATTATATTCCAGCAACAGAAAAGAAGCTCCCAAAATGTAATTGGTCTAAAAAGAGGCAGCATTTGTGTCCCAAAATCAGATTTTAAACCAAATTTGTCCTTCAATGCCTACTGTAATCAGTGTTGTCTATAATTCAAGTTCACTGGACCAAAGGTAGCACATGTTCACATTGAGGCTCTGGAGTCTCACACTGACAAGCTAAGACTGTAGGAACAAACCAGAGGAGCACCAGGTTTCCTTAAGAATTCTGTCAAATTATTCACAGTATTCCTGTTGGAAATGGGCACGTGAACATCATACAACAATACTGCAGAAGTTCAGGAAATTCAACGGTGAAACATTCAAAACACACAGAGAGAGAGAGAAAGTGCAACTGATCAAAATAAAACTACACCAGAACTGCAACTCGTCATTATTTCTTTCAATTACTCAGTTGTTTTTGGTATAAAATCTCCAAAGAGGAAAACAAGACTCTTCAAATTATTTGTGTTTTGTCTGATCAACAGTCCAAAACATGTCCAGTTACTTTTAGAAGAAATGACTCGAAGACGCTCAAAAACACTTGAGAGGCAGAAACTAGTAAATTATTTTGCTGATAATCAAAATCCAGTAAAGTTTACTGGCAATAAAGTCACTTGATTACCCAATTTATCAACTGATACTTTCAACCCAGATCACATTTCCACTGAATGTTCTGGAGACCATGCAACGTACCTGCTCATCAGATAACTAAATATTACAAAAATAAGGCATCTATTCATTTGAACTGATATTTAAAGAAGAAGAACATGTGCGTGTTTGCTTTTCTGCTGCCTACAGCTTTCTGAGTGAATAAAGAATGAACATCATCAACAACAACAACAAGTTCTGCATCCCGCCCTTCCTGAAGATAACGGAGGTCTGGGAGCCACAAGGCCACAGGCAGGCCGGCAGGAAGAAGAAGAAGAAAGAGGGGCTGCAGCGCCGCTTTTCTGTTTAATGTCTGTGTTTTTATTTTGTCTCCGCTTTTCACGTTTTTAATTTAATTTAATTTAATTTTTTTAACAAAAGGTTTTATGTGCAAAAGGCAGAGGAAAGGAAAAAAAATCTGTCAGTTTTTAACAAAAAAGAAGAAAAGGTTTCTCCTTCTGCAAAAAGACAAGAATGTTTGGGAGATGTCGGGGTGGGTATGTGGGTCCACGGATTAAACGTACAGCAGATGTGGGGTGACTCGGGCAGCTGTTGGTGTGTGCAGTGCTCTAACAGGGCTCCTGGGAGGTGTCATATGAGGCCATTTTTAGATCCTGAATAACCGGCTCCTCCTGTTGTTCCTGTCAGGCAGCCACCAGGGCTGGAAGTGAGACCCTTCACATCTGAAGGTACAACAGTTAGGACTGAAGGCCGTTTTTCTCCTTTCTCAACTCAGATATTTACCCAGACGTCACTGCTGCAGTGACTTAAGCCTCCAGAGGGAGTTGGACGTGGCAGGTGACCAGCCGGGTTCGTCGTCTTGTTGTGCTCTCAGCTCGGAGGTCACTGCGGGGGTTGACACATGTACAGGAGAAGCCCAGTCAGCTGACCGTCTTTGTCTCACCTTCATTCACCGTCCAAGTCCAGCTTAAGCAGAGTTTCCTGGCGTCAGAGAAAGCACAGCTTAGTCGACATACTGCACACTGTAAGCCTTTGACCTGATGGAACCTGGTCAAACTGTGTTCGCCTGACAAGCTACCAGAAGGTTTTGTTGGGTTTTTTTTTTAAAGAAAAACTGACAGACATTTCAATCCTGCACCATAAACTCTGACTAGTACTGGAGTTATGAAGCCAGTACTACGTCAGGTAACAGAGTGCTGTCCTACATGTCTGACATAAAATACAATAGTAACTGAAGCTAGCATTATTCTAGGCATAAAAATACTTTTATTCTACAAACATAGGTGTCAAAACCACATTTCGTTCCATCGTTTGTATTTTCCACAACAATATATAACAGCTTTAATAATTCATTTTTTCAGCTTTCAACACTCTACAGTGTCTGTGGCTGTTCTGTGTCTGTTTGCAACCATTTGGTGTCTCCCTGTGGTAATTTTGTGAGTTTGTGACTATTTTGTGTATCTTTCTGGTCATTTTTGGTCATTTTGTGTGTTTTTGTGGCTGTTTTGTGTCCGTTTACAACCATTTGGTTTCTCTTTGTGGTGGTTTTGTGTGAGTTTGTGGCTATTTAGTGTCCCTTTGTTGTCATTTTGTGTCTCTTTGCGGTCATTTCTGGTCATTTTGTGTGCTTTTGTGGCTGTTTTGTGTCTGTTTGCAACCATTTGGTGTCCCTTTGTGGTCATTTTGCGACTGTTTTGTGTCTCTTTCTGGTCATTTTGTGCGACTTTGTGGGTATTTTGCATCTCTTTATGGTCACTTTCACTCGCTTGCTTTCTGGCTCGAGTGAGCAGCAAAACTTTGTTTAAAAAAAGAAAACAAACTGGTGATGTTACAAACATCCAGTGTTTTTCTTTTACTGGACTTCCTGAAGAGGAAACGCCTGCTGATCTAGTGACTTGATAAGCAGCAGCTTTTCCTCAGTAGTAGCAGTAACGGGCCGAAACAATGGCACTAACATCACTTTACAGATCACACAACACTGAAGATTTCATCGAGACGAATCAGAGAAGATGAGGCTCAGGGTCTTCAAAAGGCAGAGAGAAAGAATTATGGAGACGTCATGATGTGCTCTTTATAACATGGCATCATATGTGTGGAAGTTGTGTCCCAGTCACCACATCATAAACACAGCCTCCAAAATAGAAGCAGAAAATCAACACCTCTGTACGACACGTATATATTTATACCTCCCAAGTGTACGCGTGCGGCTGAATGAATGCCGTCTCTTCTCTGAACGTGAATGAAGGTGTCTGTGTTTGCATTTGTGAGTTTGTGCAAACTTCTCTTGCCTTGACCAGACATGTGTTTGGACCCGCGGGGGGCCCCTGAATGATGAGCGGGTCTCGGGACTCTTTAAAGGCGAAGCTCTGCACGGCGAGAGACCTGGACGGCCTGAACTCTTCTCTCCACCACCACACAGCCATTCCCGCCAGCAGCACACTGAGGAACACTGGGGGGAGGAAACACACAGAAGAAATTCATCCCTTTCTGCAGAGCCGACAGACGTCATGTTGAGGAGCTGACATCAGCTTCCTGCATTATGTCACCTCCTCTGCCTCCTCTGAGCGGACAAACAAGTGGCCGGTGTGACTGAATAGAGCTGCAGCACTTGTGGGAAAAGTCTTAAACTGAAGCCTAGAAGAATCTACAATGATTCATACAAAGAGAGCTGAGAGAAACATAAATGTGTTTATTAATAGGAACCGTATTTGTAGAGAGCTTCTGTCTGTACTAAAATACATTCAAGCTGAATATAGAAAGGTAAATATACTGTATGTGTAAAAAAGAAAAGCTGATCCTATTTTGGATCTTTGAAGTCGCAGCGGGTTCCTCTCTGCAGACAGGCTCGTTGACATTATATACAATATAGCAATTTCCCTGAGATCTTGTACCAAAGGGATCAATAAAGTTTTATTCTAATTTTTTTTAATTCTAATATAGGTTTTAAATTTGACAGCTCAGTTAAAGCATCTATTCTCTTCTTTGACATAATCGTCAGTTTGTTCAAATACACGCCTGAGTCTCCAAGTAGAATCAGTTGCGCAACTCTTAACCTGCATGACCGGACGATGACAGATGGCCGCTGTTTACTGTGTGACTCATCATTTCATGACCACGAGAACATCAGCGTACGACGACACAAGGACATCCTTAAGACTAAGAAGAAGTAAATCAGTAATGATCTCGTCGAGGCAATATTTGATCAGTCACTTTCTCCGAGCAGAACCATATCGACTCGAGTGTGTCAACAGTGATAAGAGACGTGAGAGAGTTTCATATGTCGCAAGAACGTGTCATGAATTAAAAGATGCTTACTGATAAGAGAGAGGATTCCAGCAAACGCAGGGTCGGATAAAGTCGATGCAGGCACCGTGTGGGCGATGGCAGGGGTTTCTTGAGATTGGTTTTGCTTCACTTCTGGAGAAATGCAACTGAACTCTGGATGCTCAGAGCGCAGGTTGACAAGGCACTCGTGGTGACACACTGTCCCGGGGCGTCCGCATACAGACGGTCCTTAGAAGCAGCAGAATGTGGAGTCAGTTTAGTGGAACCGGTGGCTGTGAGGTGGCCCTAACCGGTTTACTTACTGGATAAAGTGTGTGCCCTAAAAACCAGAACTTTACAAATCAAAACCTTTTTGACTGGTCTCACCGTTTGGCTGAAGAACAGGCTGGATGATGGAAACACCACCCGGCGAGGTGACGTTAGACAGCAGCACCTGGAGGTCTCTGCCGTTGTGTTTGTTTGCGCGACAGATGGAGTGCGTAACGTCTTCACTCCAATATACGAACCCCTGAAGCACAACAGACAAGAAAAAAAGGGGGTTACTGGCAGTTTTATTGTCGCACATGAGGGATATTCCATCTCTTATCTTATTGTTTCATAGATTCTTGTGTGTGTATTTATAAGGAAGTCCTGAAATGCAGTTGCTGAGTTTCTTTTTGCTTTGTTTCTTTTCCAATGCTGTGTTCAAAAACTGTTTTCCAGACTCCTGGGGAGCTGAAGTCTGACCTTAAACGCACCGGATGCCAGGCAGCACAGAGACGTAATGTGACTGTACCTCGAACACAGCCAGTCCCAAACAATGGTCCATATAGCCGTTAGACTCGACCACTGTTTTGCGGTGGCGACCTTCTAGATTTACTCTGGAGATGCTTCTCATTCCCTGGTCGGCCCAGTAGAGCAGCTGGCGAGGCACATCTGTGGGAAAAAAAACAAAAACAAGTATGAATGGGCACAAGGAACACTTGCACTGAGGCACTTCAACATATTCAAATCCACTAAAGGTTATCAGCTCTCTGACTTCTGCAGGAATATAAACTTATATTGTTCTTGATCTAAACGGGAAGTAAATGTTCTTCCATAATTCAAATTTCCCTTCGCCACTGGTTCCCAATGACGTTCATCTAACTCAGGTCAGTCAAATGGTATGTAAAATCAGTTCATTACCACCATGTCTCATGCTCAAAGGCTTTGATTAAAACTTACTGTAAATTGGATGTTATTTAAACAGTCCTAAGATGGATTGGCCACCTGTCCAGGACCCAACCGCTCGCTCAGGGGCAGCTGGATGTTCTCCAGCCCCCACGATCCTCTAAGGCAGGTACAGCTAATGAATGACGGACCAATGGATGGAAGCTATTTAACACGTTGTTTCTATGAAAGTGGATATTGGTACAATATTATTTCCTGCAGTTCAACGGTCAGTGTCTGGGCCAGTTTGACTGGAGTCATTTATTCAGTTTAAGCAATGTATTTTAATGTTTTAATGTTTTAATAGACATTAAAATATATCGCAGTATGGACTGTTTATTTTACCAAGTACAAATGTTTGAGAACCTGTTTTGAAAACATGACCTGGCCAAGAGGCACCAACAGGAACAAACACATGTAAATTACAGACACAAATAGACACATAAACATAACATAGAGCAGAAGTAAACAAGGAAGAAGCATGGGGGCATGTCAGTGAAAAACAATGTTAATGAGGTGTAAGAAAGTGTGTGTGCATACAAATAAGTATGTGTTTAAGTCCAACGTGATCAGCAAGTCTGAGGGTGTTTTGTAAGTGAAATGAGTTACGGCCAAAAACAGTCGACGTATTGGGGATGATGATAACATTGTTTATTAATACTTTCAGCTAAAACTTTCCAAAACGTCATCGATATTTTTAGCCATTTTAGATGTTGATCTGATGCTAGCTAACAGTTTAAACTGCTGGCTGTAGTTTCAGCTAACAGCTTCTGTTTATTCCTAGTTCTAGCTTATTTCACCCGTTTGTCCTTCATGTTTAGCTCACAAATTCAACCGTTCAACGTACTTGTAGCTTGCTGTTTGTAATTCTTCTTTAACAGTATTAACTGTTAGATAGCTACTTCAACTGATATATATTTCTTTTACAATTTCGCCAATATTTATGCATTCCTAACTAACAATTCAAACTGTTTATTAACCAATTTAGGTAACTATTTTCAATTGCTTAGTTGAACCTTCAGCTACTTTAGCTATTATCCACTGTTAACTAACAATTCTAACTGCTGGTGGTACTTTTCCAACAGTTTTTTTTCCAGTTGTAGCGAGCTATTTCAACTGTTTGTTCATTTTGTGTAGCTGATAAATTCATCTGCTGGCCATAGTTGCAGCTAGCCATTTCTTTTGTCAGACTTTAAGCAAACAGTTTCAACTGTTTATCTACACAATTAACAATTTCAACTGTTAGGCACACTTTAAGGTATCTATTTCAACCATTGATTTACTTTCCCCTCCCATTACATATCCATATGAATCATGTATGCTTTTTAAAATACTGCTTTCAACAATATGCACGGATGTGACTGTGAATACAGGAAAAGGAAGATTTAAAACAATCTGCAGCAGAGCACCAGTATCTGTGCAAAATGTCAGCACGTACCCAGGGAGAGGGCAACGGGGTGACGTAATGAGGAAGAGACCAGCGTCATCCTGCCCCGGCCGTCCAGAGCAGCCCTCTCGATCTTTGGAGAGCTGCCACACTGAGTCCAGAAGAGCAGCCTGAGGAAACAAAAGCACCAGAGTGTTCATGTTCCTCTTCGTATTCCTATTTGTTTTTATATCTGACCTTTAGCAATTTTCTGTTCTTATTAAACCAAGTGCATTTCACCTTTTTGCAGTGAATATTTTTTATTAATTGTCATTGCTTGTGGTATAATTTTTAAAGAATTGTAGAAACTCAAGATATTCAGAATCCTTGTCTCAAAACTGGGCAATAATTATCACTTTCTTGGCAGATAAACTGTGTGTGAAACCACTTCACTGTGAGTGACCTGGCAGTTTAAACACATTTGTCTTTACTGTATATCCGTATGCATTGCTGCATACCGTGTTGCCCCTCCTTGGATAAATACAGGAATTGTGTGTCCAACCATTTAGCTCCTGAACCCTGAGACAAAGCTCTCAAAACAAACATTACCTTGAATTTAAAAACCATGACACAGTACTATAGGTTATCATATTGCTGACGTGCTTTGAGCAACACTTATCCTCTTTGATGCCACTATTAAATGTAAATGTCTGGTCCCTCCTACCCTCGCAGAGGATCCACAGCCACCGCAGAGGGTTTATCGAGGCCAGTGATGAGCTGCCGCTGAGCCGAACCGTCCATCAGGGCGACGCTCAGCGAACCCGTCTCCACACTGGTCCAGTAGAGAAGCTGGTGGATCCAGTCTACTGCCAGGCCCGACACTGATCCTTGAACTTTCAGCACCAGCACAGGCTTCTGTGGTTGTCCATCCATGGAGATCCTGAGACACATGAAGGAGGGAAAGCATGAAACGTACGTAACTCAAAAGACAAACATGGTGTTTATTCCAAGTTCTGCTCTACCCAGTCCTCCCAAATCATGACTTTGAACGTGCACAGCTCCATTCTTCATTGGCGGAAAACTTTAGAGAGAAATGCAACCAAAGCACGAGGGTCTGATTTTAGACAAACACCTGTAGGGGTGGTAATGTTGGTCAGCTGGTCCAGGCTGAAATATCTCATTCTGTAAATTCACTTTCATTGGGTCAAAGACTACTCACACACACACACACACACACACACACACTCACTGTCATTTTACTCAAACTAAACTTTATTGGAAATCCAGTGTTTCAGTTCTCAGGCCCTTTAAGGTGAGCTGAGGGACAGAGAACATGCTAGACGGTCGAGGCCAACACAGGCTGATCAGAGCCTAAGAGTATTCAGATAAGCTACAATAAGCAGCAAGTACACTAAAATATACCGTGCATAACAAATTTATTAGACCACCACTCAGTGTAAGGTTTGTGCCACAGCTGCCCTAAATCATGGGTGTCAAACTCACATACAGAGTGGGCCAAAATAAAAAAGTCAAGGGCCAGACTCGATATTTATCAAAAAACTGACTGAAGTTGTGCATATCTTCCTTTCTCTGCAGATATATAATGATAAACTTTTGCATATAGAAACAAAGGTTTTGCTTAAACATTAAATCTGGAACAAGCAAAGCTTAACTAAGGTGTGTCCTTTACATTCACTGACAGATAATCTGCCTTCAACCTGTCTTGAAAGCTCCTGTTTTCCATCTTTCGTGACGGGTGGTTTAAACTTTCCTGAGGTGACTGGTAGCATGAGTTTGCTAATGAATGTCGAGAGTTGCTAACTTGCCAACGTGCTAGCAGAGCATTCTGGGATGTGTAGTATTAACAATGCATGCGCTATATACCGGCGGGACAGGTCTAAATAGACATTTGATGTTATCTCACGGGCCAAATATAATTACACTGATGGGCCCGATTTGGCCCATGGGCCTGCGTCTGACACCTCTGCCCTAAATTAACAGCATTGGTAATTACCAAAATCTTTTCTTATGTTTTGTTAGCCTGATTCTTTAGTTGGAAGCCCAAGAACAAACTGGAGAAATCTTCAGTTCACAGATGTAGAATTTATTGAGGTAAAGTGAGGCAGCGCTGGGCTCAGAGTGACACAGCTCTCATGACAGCTCCATCAGAAGGAGCCCCGATATCCAGAAATGATTCACACTGATCTTCTCGGGCCGGGCCGGGCCTGCCCCATACAGAGGTTGGACTCAACCGAGTATAACCGGCCAGTTACCAATGACGCTCTGTCCACGCCACCATGTTGTAGAGATGTGGTCAGCAACATGTGTGGGTGTTGGTGGTACGGCGTGTATCTAAAGTAACCGTCCTAACTGATAGAATAGAGGAGTTTTAGCCGTCTCCTGGTACGTGAACCACTTCTGACCGGTCATGTTATCTTCAAAGACGTATGTTGTGCTCAGCAGAAAAGTACAAAACAGCATCATAGGTTCAGTGGAGAAACACAGACTCAGAATACATAGCATTAAGCTTCCATTAAGGACAGCTTCATCGAGCCACGTACGGCTGTAGAAGCTTTCACATTCTAATATTTCTAGTAAATGAGAGCTTTTGGAGAATATTTGATAACCTGCCCACTAGGATCAGAAGTGAGATTTTAATTAAACAAGCTCTGAATTTGACTCATCAGCGTCTACGGTAAATGAAAGGGCGAACACATGTTGACTCGTCTAAAGCAAGTGAGCAACATTCCCAATAGATTAGGATTTATTAACTTCCTTTATTGTGTTTTGGGGCATTGTGACTGTTATTTTATCTTAGGCCAACATGTAGTCTATATTCTTTGTTTAAAAAATAATAATAAAATGGAAAAACATTTAAATCAGGACAAGAGGCCTGAAGTGCTGCACTGGAATATAAATGTCTTGCTTATTCTTACATATAGCATTTAATAAAAAAAATACATATATTAAAGAGGAAACAACACTAAGCATTTACTTTGGCATTTTACTTCCTAAAACACAGATTGTACTTTTGTAGTGATTCATTGATCAGCTGTCAGTGTCTCCTGCTATGTTGCGTGTGATGATGAAGGAAATTACTTTCATATTTCACAGCAGCTGAGAAACACTTTGTCACATGTCTTCCGTAGCTTCCTTTCACTTCCCTATAATTTTATCTTGTGCATTTGCGTGAAGTGTCACAGCCATTTAGTCACGTATTTCGTCAGCTTGTTCTCTTTTTTGCTTACTATTACAGAAAACCATTGCCAACAGAGTTTACAGAGATGTAAATGTGTGTAAGTTTCCTGTCCTTTGGTTAACACGTAAACTTTAGTTTTGTATTTCTCGGGGGGGTACTTTTGTCAATAGAGTCTTTAAAATGGGTTTTATGGAAATAAAACCACACAAAGAAACCCTTAGCAGGATTTATTACATAAATGCCGTCTAGCCTTTACCTTATCTGTGAAGTAGCAGCGATACATAAAGACTAGACGCCCACAGGAGTTTCTTTGTCATGAAAGGGCTCTTCAAAAAGATTACAGGATCAGATAGGCACATTGTCTGAAAGCATTTTAGACATTATTAGGCTTGTAATAATAGAGGGAGGAAAAAAAAAACATATGATCCTAGCAATTTAATCTGCCTATTCACACAGTCTTTGGTGTGTTATCAGATGAAAGCAGCCTTATGTTGGTGTTGTCTCGGCTTTTCATACAACTCAAGGCAGTGCCCTTAGGACTTACATGGTTAACTATTTATAGTTGATCGAATCAGTTTTCTGACTATATATGAAGGTAGAAACAGAAGCTGTCAAATAGAAAGAAATAGGATTATGTGCTATAATTTAAACACAAGGACAAGGCTGCACGATTTCAGTCAGTCCTGGAAGACAGTCATGGTGCTGCACTTGGTGTACGCATGAGAAACGGTAGGTGTAGCCGAGTAAAGAAAAAAAAAGGTAAAGATCACAGTGTGAAGGGGGTGAGAACGTTTCAGAAACGTACAGAGAGTCAACGACACTCTGTGAAACTGCAAACATCACACAGACTAATGATGGGAGTTGGATCTTCTGGCTCCGTTCCTTTCTGAGAGCAGTTCAAAAGAACAGCTCATCGCTCTTTTTTAAAATTCTTTTTGGCAGGAAAGCAACAGCAGGTCCAGCCCTACAAACACAAATGTCTGTTCTCACTGGCCGGCCCAGAGGGAGACTTTTCCAGTTGGCCACTGCTCTTTAAAGTGAATCAGTGCAAACAGGGCATGTCCTCATTCGACATCTTTTACACACTGTGTGGAACATCCAGGCAACAAACTGAACACAATTTTCCATAGTTTTTACCTCGTATTGGTGTTTTAGGGGCAGGGCTTATCTGCAAAGTAATCACTGGAACAATCACAGATTAAGATTTTGGAAAATTGTGGCATCCCAACAGATTGGATGGAAGGCATTTATAAACTGTACCTACGTTTAAACCCAAGGGAACTCTTCACACATCCATTACACGAGGCAGGTGCGTAGGAGAGACTAAAGTACATCCAGCAGGTACAAACAGACTCCTGCACCCCGTCTTGAACTTGCAATGATGATTTTGCAACGTTACATTTCTAGACCTTCATGTGACCAAAAATTCCCTGATTCATGTATCATTGAAGGCTGGACAGTCTTTCTGTACAAATTGTACCTACAGAAGATAACCAGGGTCATGCTTTCTCTCCTCCCCTGCAATTGTCTCTGCATGCACATTAATTAGCAGCAGCACCGCCCACCTCCACACAGCAAATTCTTAGTTAGTGAGAAACACTGCAGTGAAACTTGGGTACAACAATTAAAACTACAGCTCTCACCAAGTAAGACAGAACTAGATCATTTGCAAATGTACCATTATTACAGTCTATGCGTCTAAATGTTTGCCTCTCAGAACTTTTCGTGCAACGATCTGTTGGTTTGTAACCTTTATGTCTTCACTTTGGTGATGGCGACATAATCTTTGTATGACAAACAGTGGATGTGCTGCAATATGTGGCTGTTCTTAGCTTCCTTTGCAGAGATTGTAGGAACACCTTTCAGACTGATACTGTATACTGACAGCAGACACCCACACAGACGGAGGAAACACATGCGCCTCTATTTATATTACAGTGCGTGTCTGTGGCGGATGAGGGAAAACGTGCGAGCAGCACATATACGCAGCGATGCATGTGCAGAAAGGAGGCGGCTTAAGGGGAGTGCACATTTGAACACAAGTGTCTTCAGTCATCTATCAAGAAAATGGAATTCACCCACAGTACACAAGGAAGTCATTATTTCACTGGCCACTTAAAGCTGTGACTCATTAAGAATCAAACCTGTCAGTATAAGGATATCAGCGTTTCACTCTGATTTCATGAGTCTTAATCAGTTTGTCATTGTTTGTGTGTGTGCGCAAGTCTTTTAATGTTTAACCCTCTGAACTCCAAGCAGGTTCTCGGCATGTTTTGTTCCCTTCATACTCATTGTGGGCTCTTTTTTCACTGCAATATAAAGTCCTGTACCTCTAAGGAAACAGCACAGCCATGGCTAGAAGTAGGACAAACTCAAAAAAAAGTCTTGACGGAACATAAAGCCTGGACTCAACATGTCCATCATTCTTCCAAGTTCCAACAGGTGATACCAATACTAGGGCGCAGGAGAGAATACTATAGATACTTATGTAGATAGATATTTTTTCCTTCATCTTCCATTATTCCATTGCTCAGGGAAAACACAGCCTGCAGTTCAACTTAGTTTAGCCAAAAAGTCCCTGAATTTTGTGATGTTGACTGTTGGTTGAATGCAGCCTCACGATTGTACCAAATTGTTTTGTTTTATTTTTTTACAAAATCTGGTTATTTTTGTCAAATTCCTGAATGTGACAAGTAGAATAAAGTAATTTTACTCAAATATCACAATGTTAACCTTAGATTTGGGTCATTTTCTGATGGAAGAGCATGGCAGGAACGTGTAGTTCAAGGATTTTTGGTAAATTCTAAATTCAATGATTACTTCTGGCTCTGACAAATGGTGGAAGTTTGGCATTTTTTCCCCAAGACAACATGTCTTTCAAACAGCTGCTAAATGGTCTGCACTTCTACAGTAAAGCGCTTTACAATGTGTTTCTCATCCACACACACATTCATACACCGATGGTGACAGAGCTGCCATGCAAAGTGCTGCCTGCCATTGGGAACAACCTCGGGTTCAGTGTCTTGCCCAAGTCGACTGTGGAGGGAATCGAACCGCCAACCTTGCAACAACCACTCTACCAGCTGAGCCACAGCTGCCCATCATGTGTTACTATTTACAGATGGATGTGTACTTTGCTGTTGTGGGCGAATGTGCTACGATGTGAGCAAGTATTTCACTACATGTGGTATTTTATTCCCTTTAACACCTCGTCAACATGTGAAAATGAGCCTTTCTGGGCTCAGTCTTGCTCAGTTAGCGTTTTATTTGAGGTTGATCGTCTTTATCTAATAGACCAATAAGAGAAAAGTTAACCTCCAGGACGTGTCACACACCCAATCTGAACGGTGAAAGTTTCAGGAGGTGCTGAACAAGCAAAAGGATGTCTGGACTATCCTGTTATCTCACCAGACTCAGATACATGTTGGAAAATGGACGGATGGGGACACGTGTGGTTACGTTGATTGCTGTTTTAACTGTCTAGCATCCCTTTGTCTTTGGAAGACAATCTGCTGTAGACGAGTGTGCTGGATGCAGCAGCTACACTCTGTTACCTGTATATGGAGCCTCGTCCTTGCTGGGCCCAGTACAGGATGCGCTTAGAGGCCACAGCCGCCACCGGCCCCGGCCCTGGTATACGTAGGGCCAGTTCCTTGCTCTCAGGGCCAGTAATGCTCTTCCACTGTATTCCTTTAGCCGTTGTGAAAACCAGCTGAGCCTCGGCTCCTGTGAGGACACACAAAAAACAACGCTGTGTGTCTTGTATCACTCTTCACAGCCACAGAAAAGCAATAAAAGTGCAGTGTGACATGTCAACCACTTCAGCATTTAGCAGCATGAAGAACAAGACTAAATAAAAAAGGCAACGAGTGAAACTTTATCAGTGGGAGTGTTTCAGCTCCGTTATCATATCGGCATGGTATCAAAGTGAACAATACCAAACTGATCATACGAACTGTTCAAGTACGTCACACAATACAGCAGCACAAAAGAAACAGAGTCTTCTATAGGCTTGTTCAGTGAGTGTGCCTGTAGTGAAGTGATGGATGACAGCACAGGTGTTTGTTCAGCCATATTCACCGTCACAGTGTAAATGAGTCAGTGTTTATTAAGGTGGAGCCCGTCTGAACTTTACATAACTCCACCAGACATCAGGGTTTAAATCTGAGCACATGCCGCCGATAACATACAAATGTTGTGTTCAAACACGTGTTCTCGTGGCTCAGTCAAACACCGGACAGCCGCTCTGCAAAAGCTTCAGCTAATTTTTAAATTAACATTTAAAAATGTTTAGATCGTTCCAAAGTCACATAAGGGAAATGGCGTCAACACGAAACTACTGTCCAGCTCAGACGACCTGACATGGCTTTTGTTCCTGTCTGTTGTCATGTTGACAAAATGATGCAAAAACCATCGCTCAGGCTTGGTAGATATATTAGTTATAGGCCAGTCTTCATTTTGCTCTAAGATTAGTCTAATATGTGTTAGAAAGTTATGCAAAGAGTGACTTACTGTAAGACTAAAACATCAGCCCCTAAAATACACACATACTTATACTGAGTTTGTAGAACAACTGCTAAGCTTCAGGCAAAAAAGGCATCATACAGTAAATGACCTACAGAGCCCTCAGCAGAGGGACATAGTTGCCCAGTGTATGCATGTTTACCTGATTGTGTGTTTTACTGTGCGCGTCCCACATCACTCTGATTCTGGCCTCCCTTCACTGGCTCCCAGTAAAAGTCAGAATAAACTTTAAAATATTGTTAATTACTTATAAGGCTCTTCATGGCCTAGCCCCCATATATATATCTGAATTACTAAATCCTTACTCTGCCAGCCGACCTCTCCGATCCAACGATCAGGGCCTGTTGGTTGTTCCTCGCTCCCTTTTTAGATCTAGAGGTGCTTTTGAGGTTGTTGTTCTTAAGCTCTGGAACAATCTGCCTACTGAAATTAGATCTGCTGACTCTGTGGAGTCTTTAAAAAACTGCTACAAAACCCACTTTTACAGGCTAGCCTTCCTTTATGGTGTCGTTGTGGGTTGTTATCCTCATGTCTTTCCTGTCCTCTTTCTAGTCTCCTTTCCTGTGCTTTTCCTGTGCTGATACTCTGTTTTGTAAGCATGCATGTTGTGTTGTATGTAAACATGTTTGTTTGAACTGATTTTAAACTGCAGCACATTAACTTTGTATTATATGTCATCAAAACTGTGTTTTTATCTTTTTAGGATAATGTGAAAGCACTTTGTAACCCTGTGATTTAAAAAGCACTTTATAAATAAACCTATTATCGTTATTATTATTACTTGAGGATGAACTTGCCTTGATTTGGCCTTAAACTGATACATAATACGAAAATAATTGCACAAATTTGAATGAAGACATGAAGCAACCGTTCTGCTTATTATATTGTACAAAATGTAATATACACGATCTTCAGTATGGCCTTGATCTTTGTCTCAAGGTCAAATGTTACATCACCAGTTTATAGGCCTCCAATGTCTTCCTAAGTTAGCGAACTAAACTTATGTCTTTTTGTGCATTGTCAGTCATACAGAGCTGTTTCTGGGGAAATGCAACCTTTGACCTCTGCAGCGGTCATCAATACATGTATTGACCCAAAAATCTAATCACTCCGAGAAAGGACCTTATCAAGGTCATGTAAGTAGTTTCAGGTTTAAATTCCTCTCCAGTAAAGTAACAGACGAAAAAAAAAACACGCACACACACAGTCCCAAAAACAAACACACGGGCACAAGTACTCTATCGTTGCCCATCGATGGGCAACAACAGGAAATGAATTGAGCAAACAGTCACGCATTAACTCGCTTGACATTAAGACAAGCGATCTGTCGGATATATGACATTCATTGGTCAATCAAGTCAGAAAAATAATATTGAAACACCAAGACAGCGAGGTGGGGACGTGAGGACAAACTTGTGGCTGTTTTGTCGGTTTGATCGCGGGCTGAAGTCATTAATCATTAGTTTGTAATGGGGACAATTTTGCATCTTATTTTTTCCCCTGCGGGAGAAACAGAAATGTGTAGTTTGGTATTTGGGGATAAGGCTGACATCATTATGATATGAACGACACAAGACAACGAGTTAACTTCCAGAAACATGTTGCTCAGATAAGAAACCCTGGGATCAAACCCCAGTCGGGCCTCTCGGTGTCACTGGCTGCTCAGTGAGCTCGTTTGCTGCTCACCTTCGGCGTTGCACTCTCTGGTTACTGGATTCATGCGGTAGCCCTCGAGGCAGTCACAGGTGAAGCTGCCGTTCACGTGAACACACAGCTGGTCGCATTCGTCGCTCTCCAGGCACGCATCCACCTCTAGATGAAGGAACAAAGTGCTGCAATGACCGCATTATAAATACACGGACATGTAGCTTTCATTAGCCCCCAGCGATAATGGTTTATGGAGGTTGATTAGTTTCCAAAAAGCAAACACTTACACCCAGAACAAAATTATTAATTGCGCTTCGAGCATCAGTTTGTTTAAACACTTGCATATGGTGATAAAAACTTTACACAGTCCACACAAATTAACCAGTCCTTTAAAAATAACACATCAACCACTGTAACTCTAACTGCAGGAATGGGCTCACCCTCACAGTGGGTGTCCTCGACCAGCCTCATGTTGGCGGGGCAGTTGCAGTGGAAACCCATCGGCTGGTCCACGCAGTAATGAGAACAGCCGCCATTATTCACCCGACACTCGTCCTGATCTGCAAGATCAAACATCACATCAGCGGCGGCGACACACCAGGAAGCGCCGTGTCCTCGATCCATGTCTTCAAAGTCCTCCAGAAAAATATGAGATCTCAGGAGCAATGTGTGATGCTCAGAATGTTTTTTCATTAAAGCACAAGTTAACGTTTTACTTACTGACACACGTTTGTCATCATCTAGTAGGTTCTAACATTTGCTTATTAGGCCTGATCACAGCACCAGAAACCAAAACGGACAACTTGACATTTTGATTATTCTACAAGAGGGAAAGTCAGTGAGATGAATCCTCTGCAGAGCCTGAATGTCTGGTACAAATCACATAAAGATCCATTTTATAGTTGAAATACTTCGTTGCTGACTGATGTACAGGACAGATGGACTTCGTCGTACCAGGAGGTTTGCTGCTACGGCTGAAATGTGACAGATTTGGTGTTTAACTCGTCTCCCATGGCCAGAGTATTTTCCAGATGTGGCTGCCCCTCACTATCATTCTGCTAAAGAGGGCAAGAAGTGCTGACGTGAACCTGGGTTTTGTCCTGTTTCTTTTTTCTTTTCACTGTTGCTAAAGAGCTGCTCAAAGGTTATCATTACATTTGTTGGGTTTTTCTCTCTCTTGAGCTTACTGTGTGATGCCTCCTGCTGTGAAGTGGTGCTACGTAAATAAACTGAATTGAAGGCTGAGAGTGTTCGCAATAAAACATGCAAATTTCAATAGCAGCAGCAAACACAGTCTCCTGATTCCAGCTGCTACTGGGAGCTGAGATTATTTCGTCAACTTGCATTTCTAAGCTCAACGATGAACCTTAAACCTGACTGAACACATTACAGACCAAGCTCTCCGTGCTACGTTGCTAACTTGGCACCAACTGGTTGGTACTGCAAGAACACGTGCAAGAGATCGTCAGGAAAATATTGGTTTTAGTGTAACAGTTTGAAGGAACTGAAACTAAATAAACATCTCATCTCTGTAACTTCAATCCAGTCTCACTGACTGATTACTTTTGGCTTATTTGGCTCTCAGGGCGTCGCTGTGATCCAGCATGTGTGACTCGTCGATGTCAAATATTACGTCACTTTTGGATGAAAACGTCCCATCTCCGAAATGTCAAGCTTTAGGAGTGTCTTGTTCTGGCCCAAAACCACCGTCGACCAGCGGGGCTTTGGACGAATCTCATAGCGACAAAAAGGTTTGAAACTATTCTCACAACCTACATTAAAGTGTTTTTTAATTAATAAAGCACATGATAAGCAAATGTGAGGTATATATATATAAACATATCTCAGGTATACTTTATTAGGTAGTTCCTTCCATCACATTGCTGATAAGCAAGCATAGATGATTGGATGTCGACTCATTTGGGAGAACATTCTTAAAAGACACATCATAGAAAAGTCATTATAAAGACATTACTTGTGTTTTCTGAATCTGGAAATAATCTACTGACAGACTCTAGTTTCTTTCATGTAAATGAGCCAAAACAAACCAACACATTGAGACACTTGCTGGGAGTCTGATATGTAAATATACTCCATTTTTAACGACATGAAACTTTTGAAAATTACCACTATCATCATGAAAACAAGAGCATATCAGGCATGTTTCCATTATTTTTGCTTGACAAACGATTGAAGTCATGAATCTATCGTCACAGTGGTTTGGGATCATGAGTTAACTCATCGAGACTGCTGAACTAATAACTATTAAAACACCTGCCTCTTGGCCTTTAACTCAGACAGAACCAGACAATGTTGGGTATGGAGCAGCCGAGAGAGGAACTGTACTGCCCTCTGCTGGACAGTCTGCAAAACATCAGCAACAAAAGACTGCATACGTGAAGCCCCTTTTATTATACCCACATGCATATGAAGCTGACGTCAGTGTCTTTTAACCAAACCTGTTGCTGGCTGGAATCAGAGCGAGGCAGCACCCAACCAATCATCTAACGCTCTGAAATGGATGTTTTAAAATTCAAACCCACTTCATGGTCGAATATGTGAAACTAAACAGTATTTAAATTACTCTGTCAAGCTCTACTTATCCATTCTTCACTCAGTTGTCTGTTTTGGTTTTTGTGACACTCATTTCACAGATTAGACTTTTTATCTGACCTCAGAGTGGCAGAACAGATGCACTCATCCGGTACTTGTGACTTCAGATGTCATTGAATGGAGGCTTGTACCAGCTGGCGTGATTCAGGCAGACCGCTGTGTTTAGTGATGTGATGCTGGGCAGTAAGACCTGGCGCAATGTTGATGTTTCAGTTCATCCAAAGGCGCTGGATTAAGCTGATGTCACGTTCTTTTACACCAAATTGGGAAAATTCTTCTTTATGGACTTGGCTTTGTGCACAGAGATGTTGTCATGCTGACACATTCTTGTTCAATATACGAGGTGGCAGAAATGTTCCAGGACTGGTGTCACAAGAGATATATTTCAAACCCAAATTACAAACGAGTTTTCCCCTTCAGACGATCAACCAGCACGTCTACGAAGAGATCCTGCAGCGTTTGCTTCATTCAGTGCGCCAGAAGAGGCGAGAGTTCTGGCAGGACGAGTCGTGGCTGCTTCACCATGACGACCTGTTCACAACGTCCTGAGCATCCCACAGTTCCTGGCTCAGAAGAACATCTCCGTGCTGGAGCAACCTCCCTACTCACCCACCTGGTTCTGTGGGATTGTTTCCTTTTCTCGTAGCTCAAGGGGGTCATCAAGGGGACCCGTTTAAAAGACGTGGACGACATCAAGATGGCTGTGATGACGGAGCTGCAGAGGATCCCAGAAGAATCGTTCCAGGAGTGCACGGCATGTGAAGAGAAGGCTGGGGAAGAGTGTTAGACTCCAGGAGGATTACTTCAAAGGGGAAAAGTTGTAGTTTGGATTTGAAATATATCTTTTGTGACACCAGTCCTGGAACTTTTCTGACACACCTCATACTTTCAGACGTACATTTGGATCCAGTTTGTGCTGCTGCAGCTCAAGTGTCAGAAGCAGTCATTTATTATACATCAGATATTCTATCTCTGGCTACTCCAGTAAAGGTTTCAAAGCATCCTCACATCAAATTACTCATAACGTGCTTGAATAAAGGTATGCTAGATGTTGCACTTTTATTCCAAAAAGGTGCGACAGAGCTGTAGGCTATCTCTTTAATAAATGTAATGAGAGTCAGCAGCAAAAATTAGTCTTGTCCTTATGTTTATGCTTCTGTTTTTCTTGTTGTATGATCTAAAAACTATAATGTTCAGAAAAACAAGGACAGTTTCATTAGTTGTGGTGCATCACATCACTCACCACAGTGGTCCTCATCGCTGCCATCAGGGCAGTCTGCTGAGCGGTCACACCTCCAGCTGTGAGGGATGCAGCTCCCGTCTCCGCACTCAAACTCCGACACCGCACATGTCGGGGACGTCTGTGGGACGGGTCGTCCCGGACCGCACAGCTCCTTGGTCTCATCCCGTGCGTCTTTGCAATCGGTCCGGCCGTCACAGAGCTTGCTGGCGGGCAGGCAGGCATCAGACGGCCCACAGGAGAAGAAACCAGCAGAGCACACATGACCTGTGAGGAGTCAGAGGTGCAAGTTACAACGATAGTTTGAGTTGATTATTGCTCCGAGTCTCAGAAGGTTACGTGCGTGTGTATCTGCTTCATAGTTTGACACCTGCAGCCACCAAAACGATGTGAAACGTTGAGGTTTCCCACATCTGAGCCTTGTAAAGAATTTCAGTTTCATTTTCTTGAGCGTTTACGTTTTTTTCCAACCGTTTCTCAGAGAAGGAAAAATTCAAAACAGACACATAAATGAAGGTAGAGATCACGTATTTATTGCAAATCAGAGGAGATCAGCATTTAACTGAACAGCTGAACTGAATTCACAGGACATCCACACCCCAGCCTACCAACGCCCCCTTCTGGTAGACTTCAGCATAACTCTGCAAGTCTAAAAGGAAACTGCCAACATTGTAATATCCTATTGCAATAAATCAAAGTCCCTATTATCCATCTCCTCTGTTTACTGTGTGTACTCTGGTTCAAAAGTCCAGCAATAAAAACAAGGATTTGAAGTAGCTTGTTGGAGCCATTTTTCATACAAATCTCTGGAATTAGTTTTTTTATCTTGGCAGCTGATTTGCATATCGACAACCATCGTGTTGCATCAGCTTTTAGTGTGATATTGTCATTGTAACAATAGTGTGGTACAACTAGGTAGAAACACACACACAAAACAACACGGTGCTGCTTATGTTGGCTGAGCCCAAACAGAGTTTCTCCAAACTAAACTGGGGGGAACAGCGATACTTGATAACCTGCTGGGCAAAGAAACCGTTCGAGTCAGAAAACCAAACCATGAAAGTTGATTCAGGAAGATGAGCTCTAATGTCTAATCTGTTCATTCAGGTTTTTTCTTTCCGGCTGTGTATTAAGGGTGTTTCCCTTCAGTTCTCTCGATAAAAATCTGATCAACTTCTGTGGAAAAATGAATCCATTCATTTCTGTTCTCTTCGTTGCTGCTTGATGTGACCCACATCCGTCCCTCCACCTCCTGTTTTCATCTCTTTGTCCAGCAGAGCCATGCAGCCGGATCATAAGCGGGAATCACAGGTCACTTCATACACAGATATTCAGCTGGGCTTTATATAGGAGTGGGCGGCATCAATCACAGTAAATGCAACTTTATATCACAACACTGACGTATATATACTTATATTGTACATTTTCAAGAAAACAAGACAGGAATGTTCAAATATTTCATCACCCCTGAGCAAAAACTACACAAAAGTCTAATAAAGGATTGTGTTATATTATTAATTTGCTCTTTTATTTATTCATTTGCGCTTTTTTCGCTGCAGAATCCTGCATTTCCGAGGGACAGAAAGACAAATCTGTTCACTTTCTACATTTTCCTGGCCAGCAGTCAAACCAGCACCTTCCACATCTCTGACCTCTAAGTCAACAAACGTTCATACCTGCTGTCTGCGCTCACATTAGAAGTGTTTATGTGTTCAATCCCTGAAATCACACTCAGTTCTCTCAAAAGTTCTCCCTCGCAGCGCTTTTCTTTGCAAACCTGCAGCTTACGGTTCACAAGCTCAACACCAAATCCCTCTGGAATCCAACATCGGCGGCTCTAATAACTTTAACAGGATTAGAAGACAAAATATGCAGCAGCATATTCCCACACAGGAACAGAGAGCAAGATGATCTTTCCTGCACAGTAACTTTAAAGGCACACGTCGGGCTGTGTGACCTGAACCTTGGAATTGAGATAAAGATGAACATTTATGTTTCAGTGTGTTAATATTTGTCTAATAATAATAAACTAAATCAAGGTTCTCTGGGGACAGAGTTGCTTTGACAGACCAAAAACAGGCCAGACGGAGTCAGCAGACCTGGCCTGACATTTTGTTACACAAAAACAGAAAGACGACAAATGCAGGTTTAAAAGTATAAACTACAAATGATCACACACACAGTGATGGTCTGAACATTTTGGGCTTTGACACCAACATCGAAATATCAATAAAAGAAGTAAGAAAAACAGAGAGTCAGCTTTGATCTGGACAGTCCCTCATCAGGTTGGACTGAACAGTGCATGAATCATAGACACAGAGTGGCCTTTTTGAAGCTTTTAATTTGCTGTCACTTCATTCTGAAGTCCATCTGACATCGACCTTAATGAATGATCTAAATCAATCTATCAGCAGGAGATGTGCTGCACAGCTGCTTTGCTGGAGAAACAGTTTTTTTTGCTTTTCATGAACTAAATATTTAAAATAATTAGTAGAAAACTTGAGGTTTGTTCCAACTGTTAATTATTCTGAATTGAAGCCCAAAACACTGCAGTTTGTCGCTTTATACAAAGTATGAGACCAAACATTCATCCTACACTGCGATGAGACGGCGGTGTTGTTTGTACTCTCCTGTTTAATGCTTCTTTAACTTTTTATGGCCTGTTTTATGTTACTCCTTTTAACTCCTGATGCTTTTATAGCTTTATGTTTCTTTAATCTCTTGGATTATTACCTTTATGTCTTACGATGAGTTCTGCTTTGATGTTGCCGTTTAAATAAACTTGTCTCAGATTACTACGTTAGTGTTTGTGCTGCTAAGAAAACTCAACCCAACGTGTTTGTACGGTCTGGGATGTAGTCAGCATTGTACTCACTGCAGTGGTGTTCATCTGATCCGTCCTTACAGTCTGTGCGTCCGTCACACAGCTTCACCTTCGAGACGCACGAACCATCGCTGCACCTGAACTCCAGCCGCTGGTGGCAGGCGGGCAGAGAGTGAAGTGCAGCACCTGAGAGACAGATTTATTGTGATAAAGTGTCAGCCGATACGATAACTAGTCAGAGGAAGCATTCATGCATCTGTTCAACATTTATTTGAACACTGAGTACACTGACTTATAAAAGATCTCATTTACACTGTTGCAGAATAAGAAACTTGGACAATAATAAATGAAATAAGTTCAAAATTACTAAAAACATTAATGCACAGAACAATGCACTATTTAAATTGTGCGGCAAGATTAAGGTGTTAATCATCATGAAAGCTATCGGTTGCAATTTTCCAACATTATTTGCCAGACTGTGGCTTAACAAAGTCTAGTGGACTCTGCAGAACAACACAATACTCAGAACAACAATAGAAATCTGTCTATTCCTCAGGTTTTTCTGCAAAACTACATGTCATCACAGTGTATTCTGTAGACTGAAAACAGAAAACTACATTCATTCTATATACAGACTAAATCAAAACATTTAAAAATCCCTTGATCACATTTATGTCACAAAACATAACACATCAAAGCTTGAAAAATAGCATTAAATCTATATTTATTCTGTCTTAGCAGGTCATTATGAATAAGTGAATGAACTTTTTCCCTAAAATGCCATTGGCTTCAATGCCAGTTTCCTTTATTACTTTCTTCCAGAGACTCACTGGCTGAGAAATGAGCACATGTAAACCTTGCAGTGTCACAAACTGCTATGTTTAAAAGAAAATCCCTTAGAAAAAAGTTAGTTTTAATTTTAAAATGTGTTTTATTCTTAATTTTCCATATTTTTGAAAATAAATTAGTAAAAATATGATGCAGTGCAGTCAAGTGGCATCATTTTTTTAGGTTTACAGCTTTGCAAGGACAGATTCGCATCTATATTTCAGTGTAAACACAAAACAAACATCATCTGTGCTGTTTTTGTGTAACGTTACGCGTTTGTTCAGCGGCACCAAAGCTCAAGTTCACTACAGTTTGAATGTGGGACGGACTCGATTCACGGAAAACCTGCAGTCCTTCCGTCCTCCTACACGGTCAACAGTAAGTGCAGCTTCCTACCGCAGATGTGGTGCCAGAAGACAGCAGCGACCAGCAGAACCGACCCTCCAAGGTGTCCCATGCTGACAGTTGTGTGTCCTCCACTGCAGCGAGCCGCGCGGCGCGGGAATATGACGCAAGAGACGCTTCTGTCAACTGTTGAATGAAAAGTCTCACTGTGACGTCATAGAATCGTGCCACATCAACGTCGTCTCTTTTACTCGGTTGTTTCCGATTTTAACCCAAAATTTAAAACACCTAATGTACTCCCATCCTTTCTTTCTTTTTTATTATTTTTTAAATGACTTGGCTCGTGTTAGAAAACAGTAGCTCACCTGTTTGTGCAGGTGTCGAGCCAAAAAAGTGGAACTTTATTTTATTTTGTCTGTGGTAAAAGTCGGTGATATTTTTATGGCACAATTCAAGCCAAAGTTGTCCCACCACAGTACTTTCCACATATGAATATTATTGTAAAGACCCCACAGTAAATGGTGGAAATTTACCCAAAAATACAAAATATATTTAAAATACAATTTATCACACTATAATAAATATTTAAAATTAAAGCTGCAAGCAGCGTTGGTCGGGTCCTCGGTCTGCGTTGGACCCTCATGCCCGTCTGACCATTCTTCAAGTTAAACCTGCTTTAAGGTGAAGGAGCCATGTTTCTGTTTCTGCTCAGCCTCAGACTGTCAGTGAGTCACATGACCTGCTGCACTGAGCTGTGATGATGTCATCGTGCAGCATGGCCCTGGGTGAGAGACCTGAGAGTTTTACTCGCTTTCTCTCACTTTAACTCTCCCATACAGCCACAATTTTCACCAAATATGTGTAAAAACAACATATTTTTGTGGGAAATCTTG